ATAATGGATGCCTGTTGGAATTGAATCACTGATTGAGACCCAAGATTCTATTTCATGGTCTATCCATTCACCATTCACCTTTGTCCTATTTCCTGTTAAGGAATAGGTTGCTTTCCTTATATGACTTAGATGTCTTGTATTTCTTGAAGAAGTTAATTGATTGATGGGATCTGGTATGATATATATGAGATCAATGATGGTCAAATTTTTTCTTTTCCTTTAAGAAATTTGGTGAAAATGTTTTTGAAGACTTACGTTGTTTGCAGTTAACTAGAAGAGACAGATTTATAAGTGAAGAATTGCTATGACATAGTAAAATGAGTTTAAAATGAGTTTATTGCCATTAAAAACTTTTTGGATCAATATTTAATAAGCAGTCCCGATCTTAAGATCTCAGTCTTCTGGTGGACGCCTTATAGTAACTGATTACTGTCAGTTTCAATTCTTAGCATTCCTACATTTCAGCAAAGGATGCATCTAATTGAATTTCTGTTTATCAAATCTCACTCTGCCCATTCCATATTGTTCTTTTTGTGCAGATGCACTATATATCGGTTCTTGAATTAGATATGATGTACGTTTTATTTTTTTTCCTTACGATTTGGAGACATCTATGGGGCTTGCTCATTGTTGACTTCTGTATTTATTAGGTTCTGTGGTATTTCAAATTCCTTTGTTCGACGGAATGCAGATAGCACACAATCGTTTCCTGCTGCTCAACAGGCAAAACCTGCAGCAGGCCTGGGTATACAGGAATCCATTCCAAAAGTTTCTGCCCAATCACATAATGTGGTGAAAGATGTCAAAAGTGAAAGCCATAGTACAGTAAATACTAGAACTTCTGAGCATGCCAATAAACCTGAAGATAAAGAAAAGGCCTTCTTCCCCTTGCCCACAGGAAAAAAGAAAGTGCAAGCTGAAAAGAGCTCTGCTGCTGGAGGTTCATTGGCAAATTTGTGGGGTCGTGCATCTGCAAAATCTAAGCCTTCCTCTGTTCCTGTAGATTATAGTAATGCGGTGTCAAATTCTATTGGTTGGTTTTCATTGCAGTTTATTCCCTTTGGGTTGATTCAGATCTTCAATTTTTTTTCTGGGGTGATAGTAATAGCAAAATATACAAGGCATCTCCAGTATGATTATTGGTACTAAAGTTTTGTCCACCCCCTCCCTCTTTTCAGTTGCTAGTGCAGATGCCCAAATTAGTGCTCGTGAAGCAGGAGACGGTGGTAGCAGCGATAATGATAGTCAACATTTTACGTTAAGGAAATCATCAGCCGGTGAACGTTCCAGGAAAAGGAGAGTTGTCCTTGATTTCTCAGATGAAGATGAGGAAGATGTTATTAGTCTAGCATCACCTGAGTTACCAAAAGGGCAGACATCTCAGGATCACAAACATGATGATAAAGGTTCATTAGAGAATGGCATTTCAAACAACATGCAGACTGACAATATGTGCAAGGTTAAGGAAGAGAACACAAACCAATCACCAAGAGAAGATGGTTCAGTTATCAGCAAGTGCACAAATATTGGGAAGTCATCTGCTGACAAGACTCATAGTGGTGCTCCTGAAGTTAGTGTAAATAAGAAGGATAATCTTGAGAATACTGTTCCTTGTTCACCTAAAAGGAGGAAAGTGCTCAAGACAAGGATTGATGAACGCGGGAGAGAAGGTACTTGTATGCATAGATGCATTATTTCCACAATGCAGCTTCACTATGGCCTCAGAATATGAGCTATAATTATGTATGAATATGAGCTTCACAATTTTCATTTTTTTTTTTTAGGAATTTTTTTTTTTTTAAAATCATCTACCTGGCACCTTTACTTTTGCATGCTTTGGGGGTTGTTTATATTGAAATCCCAAGCAAATTTCATTATCCATAGTTCATTATTTCTATCTTTGAATGGACTCAACCCACTCATGCGGGCCATACAGAAGGGGAAAAAAGGGAATGAGAGGCGTAAGAGGTGGGAAATGATTATTCCTTTTTCTTTTCATTTCTTTCTTTCTTCTTTTTGGGTTGGGGTGGGGGGAGAGGTTTCGGGAATTGGTGGAAAGGGTATTTCAAGGGTAAAATGACAGAGAAAAGGTAATGAAGAATTCTTTAGAGAAAGTAGAGAGAACTGACCTCTTGAAAGCTAGCGACTGACTTGCTTCTTTTGTCTCGTGTTTATCTGTGAATGTTGTGCTTGTGTTTCTGAAGTGCATGTTTTCTGCGGTTGTACTTGAGTGATTCTTGTTGAAACTTTTGTGATATTGGTTGACTTGGGTGATAAAGCTCCTGTCCAAGGATTAATTTCTGTTTCAACATCATTATTAGTACTTTTTGAGTGTTATTCCAGCACTACCTGGCAAGGATCCTTTTGTTATATAATCTAATCTGTATCTTATTTGCGTGCTAATTTTTTCTCTAGTGACCGAAGTTGTCTGGGAGGGGGAGGAAACAGAAGCAAAGAAAGCTGATAATGCTCCCGTAAAGAAAGATGACAAAGATGCATCCACCACTACGGTCAACAGGTTAGAGTTCATCCTTTTTATTTATTCGTTGCAAGAGGATATAAATTTGTCATTGGTTTGAGTGGTGGTACAAACACCGATTTTTTGGATCCAATAACACTTTGCCTCCTTGATGAATGAGGAGGAAGATTCCATGAATTTGGGATCTCATTTGGAATGCTTTGTATGCCATGTTTGTTTGTTTTTATTTAAATATGCATTCACTTTGCCTGAAACAGTGAATTATTCTGTTATTTAAGGGTTTAAACAAGTCAAGTTAACCATTTTAGGTCAGTTAGTCTTGAGTAAACAATTACATATTTACTTAAAGTTTTGATGTAAGATATGAAACATGTTTATCATATAAAAAAAACCCACTTAAATTACGATTTTCCTCTTATATGAACAATTTAAGGATATGCATAACTCACCACTCATGCCACCTGTCGGTTCTCCATGTTAGACAACTTCTGCAGTGAGAATTATGTAGCTTGAGACTCCCTTCGTGCTTCATACTGTTAATATCTCCATGCGTCATGCTTTATTTCCAAGAGTGAACTTATTAAGAATGAATTTATTATTCATTGGGTCTGAAATTCCAGGGCTCCGGCAGCTAAGAAGTCATCAGCCAATGCCACTTCTAATCCTACTGGGAAAGGAGGAAACAATAAAGTGGGAAAGTCGAAGGATCCTAAACAAGGCAATATTCTTTCATTCTTCAAGAGGGTTTGAGAGTTCTAGATAGAATCGTCACACCGAAGAGACTGTTCTTTCAGCAGAGGATGATTCTCAGTGCAAGTCTCTTGATGATTGTGCCGTTTTGCAGTCTTCTGATCTGTTTCTCTATGTTGGTTGCTAGTTTCGGTGGAATCTGAAAGTAGGATAGCTGGTATATCTTTGTTTTCTAGTACAAGTTGATGTGTATGGTTTCCTTACACATTTTTGATGTAACAGATACATCGAATTCCCATGTAAGTGTGTAGTTGTTCGCAATCCAGTAGTTGTCAATGACCCAATGATGGCCCAACCTCACCTAGTGTGATGTAGTAATTCTGGAAGCTAGGCGGCTTTAGGTACTAGAGATGGATGTGCTTTCAGGATTCATTATTCTTCAAAAGTTGAATCAATAGGTGGCACACGAAGCTTGAGGCATTTGTGATGTCTACTTGAGATGACATAGAATGCTTGCAAATAGAGAACCGGAGGAAAATTGTCTAATGTGAGCAATGACTAGCGGGGGTGAGATGGAATTATCATAGGCAGTCGCTTAATTGGTTATGTAAATAGGGTTTCGGGAGTCCACGAGAAAATGAGATTCATTCGACGTTCCGGATCTGGTTGAGTTTTCTAGTATTGGTGGTGGCCAATCATAACCCCCCTCTTGTTTGCCAGTCTTATGCTCACTTGATGGACGGAAGCTTGTAAAGAGTAATAACGTGCATTTACATCTAATTTCTTTATATAATGGGATTTAGCATTTGGCCAGCATTTGGTCTCTATTTTGCAAATTCATCAATTTGCAACTTTGTCTCGAGCTAGACACCACAGAGACATTTATTTAACACCATAAAAAGTAAACCATCTTCAGGCTCCAACGACAGGGTCATTGTTTTCATCTGAGCAGGGTTTTAAATCATCTTAATAAGCTTTGTTTTCTTGATTGGGATCTGATGCAACTTTTGGGGATTGAGTTAATCTAGGAAAAGATTGAAAAGACAAATGATCGAGCCATTTTTCAAAATAATGCCTAGATAAAAATTCACCGGGGGAAGCTTTCTAAAGTACTCTCTCTGTCCTTTATTATGAGATCTAATTTTTTGAACAGGCTTGTCTCTTTTTATAAGATTTCTTTTAAGTTTATCTAAACATTTAATGCATTATTACCTATTTTACTCTTAGTTTAATGTATTTACTACATTCTCTTTTTTCATTTATCTCACTATTACTCTCTCACATCTACCCATTTATATAGAGGTATATTTGGAAAAAATTACATTTATTACATATTAATTATTTTTAACTAATTTTAACTGTTTTTTTAAACCGTGCAATTTAATTAAAATGATCTTATAACAAGAGACGAAGCAATACTCGCAACCATTCGTTGACTTTGTCGTCTCCAGAAAAGCCACATGACCAAGGCAAACAATTATTCTCACTCACTGCTCTTCCCAATATTCCAGAACCCATTCCCCCCCGCCCCCGCCCCCCCGGGGTTGCTATAATGCTACTCCTGGAGAAAATTATTTTATTTTTGCCGGCTTGATAATTCTTGCCCACAAACTTTCAGCTTCTTTGACATGCAGCAAACTCTACTCCGTAATACGAGGGAGATGCTGCTTGATGTCATTCCATTTCTACCCACCATCTGTCAATATAATCAACCAAACCTCCCGTGGAATCTGATCAAGAGCATGGGTATCAGAATCCTATGCTGATCAAATGAGCTAAAAAAAATTTTTTTTTAATAGACGCAAAATCTAAAATAAAAGTAACCTCGTAATTAAAAAAATAAATTCATAATTATAACAAATTGGAGATTAGACATTTTAAATTTGAACCATCCTTGTCATTAATATGCTGAGCACTGGACGAGGAATCGGAGGTACCCATAACACAAATTCGAGCATTTGATGATTTAATTCATAACAAGCGGCACCAACTACAGGAACTGGAACATCCTTTTAATGCGCCATAATGAAAAGGTAACCCTTAACATAAAAGGCGGTAAATGATCTCCCATCCAGCTCCTGAATTAAGCAGACAAGGAAGTGAAGTGGGTCACCGGATGGCTTGAAAGCTAGTCCATTCTTCCCTTCAAGATCCTTTCCTTTACTTCAGTTGGCGTACTACAAGTGTCAATCAAAAGACCAATCAGCCTTTACGATGCAAAATATTGAATGGTTACAGAAACACAAAACCGGAATATAACATTATTTAAGGAGGATATAAAAGCTCCAGTTTCAAGGAGAAAAATCGGAAATATGTAAACCAGAGGAAAGAATGATAAACTTACACAACATAGACATGTCCACCCCAGCCGCTTAAACAGTCACGATCAACAGAAGAAAGCAGTGCTTGAGAGATGGTCTCAAATAATTCCTCTGGTTCCTGAGGCACACAAGAAAACATGGGAAAGAAAATGAGCTTTATCTCTCTATAGAGGAATTCCGGCTAAACTAACTTCTATTGAAGAGCAAGAACCACTTTCTCAACATTAAATATAGCCACACATGCAAGGACATAGGCGGGTTTATGCCACTTCTCTTCCAGGTGAATTCACTCTTAAACTAACATATAAAATAAAATACATAAGTAGAAAATAAGTTTTCAATAAAACAATTTTTAGATACAATAATATTTTGCATGATAGAAAAAGGATTATTCCGAGTCTAATGTTAGCAACTGTCCGAATCAAGTTTTGGTAGTTATTGCACATACTGGGCAGAAGATGCTTATTGGGTATTCATTTTAATTACAAGTAGGAACACATATAGATGATAATATACATGAAAACACCAGTTTTCAAAAAAAACAAAAAGAACTAGTCCTATAAAAATTAAATCAAGCTAAATTTAGTCACAAACCATGTCAGGCTTAAACATAGACTCACAAGCACCATAGAGAGACTCAGATGCAGTGCCTGCAACAACAAAATCTTTTGCAAGCTCCCTGCATACAAGAGAAATATGAAGATATTGTTATCATCACAAACATATGGCTCATAATAAATGTGAAATTAACATGCATTTTTATCATCATCCATATCATAATGACATCGGAAACAATGGTTGGACATAAGAAGGGAGAGAGAGTAGAGTCCAAATTTCCTTGCAGTTTTGCTGTCACAGGCATTGTGCATATTCTTAATCTCTCAGAGCTTAAATGTGTTTCTGACAGTTCTCCAAATATTTTCAACTCTAGTATGCACAGAATGTTTTCAGCAAGAAATGTGAATACAGATTATAAGCAGAACCAACATGCAATTAGAAGTTTGAACTAATTCAAAATTTCCTTTAAAAAATTAGAGAGATTATAAGAAGAGTCAACTTACTTTGCTCCAATTGAATCCATGGTGCAAATAAAGGGTTTGTCATCATCTCCTAATCCAGCAATTACAGGCTGGCAAAAGTATGGACCAAACCTAGAAAGCAAAAAATGCATTTATATTTCATATTGAATATATTTGCAACATTCTACAATTTTAAAACCGTTTCCGCTGATAACAGCCAAACTCAGAAAATTGAGTTACACATGATTCACCAACAAAATACTTTTAAATTTATTACATATTCCTAAACCTCATTGATCTTATGAAGCATTAAGAATTGGCTATCCTACAATTGCTATCTTTACTTTGGGGAGGGTCTCATTCTGCTTTTGCACTTTATATTCTTAAAGAGCCCCTGAACATTATGGAGGAACGACAGAAAATTTAGGATGATTGAATTGGGCAGAAAAAATTTAAACCAGCATTAAGCCTCCTCTATGCAGAAAAGGCATTAAGTCCGCAAATGACAATTCTTTTGATCTTGTTGTTATACCGGAAAATTTAAGGCCACTCAATTGGAAAATTTTTCGAAGAATTACGATGAGGTCCTAAACAAGAAAAATAATTACTAAAAAATCCCAGTATAATAACTTAAGCAGTTTGTAACGACAAGTTTCAGAGTAAAAAATAACAACTCTGGGACTTATTTTGTAATTATTTTTCTGGCTTGGAACCTCTTTGTAATTCTTCCAAAATTGTACCAATTTAACTTTACACATGGGAATGGCTACACTAATAACTATGGCTTCAGATCATATTTTATCCCAGGAGTTCCGGCACAGCACATACAGAAATTAGAGGCCTCCAGATTAGATGTAAGTCATTAGCACTTTGTTGCCTTTAGTTCACTGATTCTCAATCATGCCTTTGTTTCTGTTGTTTTTGTTAGTACCATCAGTGTCACCACCCATCCAGACCATATCTCAAATAATGATGTATGGCTGGTCACCAGGTACGGTTTGCTTGTATCATATTTGTCCTCAACATGGGTCTCAATTGATAAAATCAAAATGCACTGATAACATGTAATTAATTGAATTCAATTTCAATTCAAACAATTTTGGTTGACTTCAAGACTATCCAAATCTGCAGAACTCCCTTCCTTTACCCCATCTTCTGGAACGACAGATATCATGAACAGGACTTGCAAGACCAATGTCATCAAACATCACAACTGGTTCAGTTAATCTAGCATATGTCCCTCCGGTTTCAAGTTCATAATGTCATAATCAAGAAAATATAGGATAACATGGCTTACTCAAAATAGATAAAAGATATCACAGCAAATCAATGTTACTCTGTTACTCAATTTTGGCTCTACAGATGGAGTCCTCCCATTTTTGTTTAGAGAAACAAGGACTGAGAAAATGCAGTGTTCAAGGTCCAAAGGAGGCTGGCATAATTTAAATGTCACTATGACTCTCTCCTATTTTTTTGAATCATTGTAAATTCACAAGCTTCTACCAAGTCAACATGACAGTAATTAAGCAAGGACTTGTGCAAAATTCTGATTCGATGATATAAGATCAAATATATACCTTTTCTCGTATAGAATAGCAGAAACTAAGCTGGCAAAAGTCTCGGGCTTCATATCCCTCTCTTCTCGAAGCTGGTATAATTTGTGCCGGAAGACGAGGCGTTGATACCTTGAAGTGGAAGGGAGCAACATTAAGAAATTTAATTAAACAAAAATCAACAAAAGAAAAGTGGGGAATTGAGAGGTGATAGTATTCCTACAATGTCTGGGCATCAGTGGCGAGGCCAGAAAGACCAATCAAAAGCTTGTCGTGAATCTTGGATATCCTCTGGAAATCGGTGGCGATAGTCTGAAGCTGAACACCGAGCCTCCGATCGCTGGCAATGGCGAAGCAGTTCTTGCCCACCATAGCCACTAGGGCACTTCCATTGTACTCGAAGATCGACATCTTCCCAAGGCTCACTTCAAATTTTAGGTTTTCTGTTGACGTGAAATTGAAACGTACTACTTTGCTGAATCTGCTAATGAATTTTTCTATTGGAAAAAATATAATATAATATAATATCTGCTGGGCTAAAATGAAAATGATCGCGGAAGCGTATAATGATTTCACCAGTAAACAAACGATCTTTTATTTGTGCTCTGGAACAAGCACAATGGAGCAATTCTCCTGGATTGTTTCATTTCATCTTTATATATGATTTTAAAATGTTGTTGTCCAAAAAAAAAAAATTTAGATGTTAAATAAAGGAACTGATAAGCTGAATTTTCCACATGTTGTCAATTAATAACTAATAATTAAAATTAAAAATTGTATCAAAATTTATAATTCACCAAATTCAAATAATTCAAATTGAATAAAAGTAGGTTAGCTATAGAGTAGTTATCTCTTAATCAATGAGCTATTACAGTAAATACTCCTCCGTATTCAATGGATAGTGATGTTGATTCTATATGTAAGACTTATTTTACATGTTTATTAATTTTTTCTCAAATTAACTCATTAATATTCCTCCAATAATAATCAAGTAAAAGAAGAAGGGGGAGTTAAGAAAGATATCTAGAGTGTTTTAAAAATATATATATCATATTAACTAATTTAACTAACATTCTTAATTTACTCAAATTAGTTAATTAGGTCTTACATTAAAGATAGGAGAAGTATTATTTTAAATCTTGAATAAAAATATGAATGTTGAATATTAAATCTACCCTGAAATCGAATTATTTTTTTTTCAATAAAATACGATCAGTGTGCATGTTATCTTATTATATCATGTCAACATGGGTTTATAAATTAAAAAGGCACGAGCTCCCTATCACTCCTCATCAATTACTAAGTAACCACACTGGCGCCAACGAGAGATCAAAGAAAATTAACACAAAGATTCGAGGTAATTTATTTGCTTCATGCAATTTTATTTTTAAGATGAACGAACGTATTTACATATGTATATGCACCAGTTTATCAGTATGTTTGTTTTGTTTTTGAAAAGACACCAATTGCTTATTTGAAATTATAAGCACGAGTAACCATTATAATAATAAAGCTTTGGTACTCTAGGCTACAATATCATTAGCTGACACAATTGTTATTTAATTTATGTTATCTTGTTAACATATACTCTTCCGGTTTTTAATATATGACCTAATTCTAGAAAATTAACCTTGATTATAAACATAAGACTTTTATACCTATTTATCATATTTATCAATTTTTTAAAATTATTCATATTGATATTTCTTCACCTCTAATTAATTAAGACAGAGAGAGATGATATTAAGGAAAATAATTATGGTGTTTTAGAAAAAAAAAGTTATATTTCTTATAATTAACTTACTTACTTAATTTTATTAATCTAATCAAATTAGTTAAATAAGTTTTACGTTAAATATTGGAGAAGTGTACAATGTGCATATGAAAACAACAATTTGTTTTGTGTTATGTGTAGGTTGGCAGATGGGACAACGATTTAAGGCCCTTGATCTAGTTAGACCGTTTCTTCCATTTGTGCCAGAAGTTGAGAGGCCAGGCAAGAAAGTCCTATTCAGGGAAAAGATCATACACACCGTGTTGGCTCTCTTCATCTACTTGGTATGCAGCCAGATGCCTCTCTATGGAATACACTCAACCACAGGGGCAGATCCCTTATATTGGATGAGAGCCATCCTTGCTTCGTCTCGAGGAACTGTGATGGAGCTTGGGATCGGTCCCGTTATCACTTCTGGTATGGTCTTGCAACTCTTGGTTGGTTCAAAAATCATTGAGGTCGGCAACCGTATGCGCCAGGATCGTACTCTCCTGTAAGTATCTTTCTTATTTATACCACCAACAAGGTTAAGTCTACGAGGAGGGATTAATCCCTCGTAACAGGACAGACGAATATTCAAATCTCTATTGAAAATAGTATCTACATTTAGTGACCAAATTAAAGTTTAATCAGAGATAAAATCGTAGCTAAATTAAAATTACTTGAATGATTCTATTTATAATAAAGTTATTTTTAACATGTTTTATCGGAATTGAAGAAAAATCTTAAATCTTATTAACTTTGCTTTAAAATTTAATAACTTTCCAATTTTGTTTCTATTTAACATATATACTTTTCAAAAAAATAATAATATATACAATAATAAATAAAGAATAAAATAATACATTCATATAAAAAAATTTAATAAAATTATTTATAAATATGACAAAAAAAATTAAAAACCGTCTAAATAGTACTAAAGGAGTATAGAGACCAAATGATTAAATTTTTTCTTTATTTGATGTTAATGCATGTTATATGTTGTTTATTTACCTGCATTTTTTGCTTTAATAATTTTGTAGGGACGGAGCACAAAAGCTGCTTGGAATCTTGATTGCAATTGGACAGGCAGGTGCCTATGTTAGTTCAGGGATGTATGGTAGTGTGAGCCAACTTGGGGTAGGAAATGCCATTTGGATCATTGTTCAGCTTTACTTTGCTAGCATCATTGTCATGTGTTTGGATGAGCTTCTTCAAAAAGGATATGGCCTTGGCTCTGGAATCTCACTCTTCATTGCCACTAATTTTTGGTCAGTTTTGTTGCCTCTTTTCTTTCTAAATTCTGATATCTTAACTGTACTAGTTAGAGTAGTTTTAGAATATCAATCAGGTGAAAAGTTAAGATGTAAAGTTATCCATGAAATATTCATCAATGCACAACTACCACTGTAATGTTCATTTGGGTGCAAGACTGCCTATAAAAATTTACAAATGGTTTTATCCCTAGTGAACATTATAATTCTTAGATGATTGTCAGTCTCAGATTGAGTGATTAGAAGATTAATCACAACTATATATGAGTGTATTGTGGTGAGTCTATCCAAAGTAACTTAAACAACAAGCCTTTTGTTTTCATGCTGCAGTGAGAACATTACATAGAAGGCATTTAGTCCTACCACCATTAATGGCGGACAAGGGGTTGAATTTGAGGGAGCTTTCATTGCTTTAGTCCATTTATTGCTTACTAGAACCGACAAGGTACGAGCTCTTCACGAGGCATTTTATCGGCAAAATCTACCAAATCTCACAAATCTGCTTGCCACTGCATTCATCTTCTTGATTGTGATCTACTTCCAAGGTTTTCGTGTGATTTTGCCAATAAGATCAAAGAATGCTCGTGGCTACCAAGGTTCATACCCAACCAAACTGTTCTATACCTCTAACATGCCCATCATTCTTGTCTCTTCCCTTGTTTTTAACTCCTACATGATCTCCCAGGTAATAATCTGACTGGGTTAACCTATCATCTCATTCAGTTCGATTCGACTTTTCAATTAACTTGTTACTGTATAAATCTGATATATATATATATATATATATATATATATATATGACTGGGATTTTCACAGGTATTATACCGATGGTTCAGAGGAAACTTCATTGTGAATCTGATCGGAAAATGGAAAGAAATGGATATGGTGGTAGTCACTCTATCCCTGTTGGTGGCCTTATGTACTACGTCACCGCCCCATCCAAGTGAAGAATTGCCTCTTTTCATACACTTTGATGTATATATTTAAAGTTATGCGTCTTGTCTGTTGTGAAATTCAAGGCTTAGATCGATTTTGCCTTATTGTTTTTGCAGCTTAGCTGATATGGGAGCCGATCCTTTCCGTGCAGTGTTCTACGTTGTGTTTATGTTGTCAGTCTGTGCCATATTCTCCAAATTATGGATCATAGTCTCTGGATCTTCTGCTAGAGATGTTGCCAAGCAGCTTAAGGTACTGGTTAGAATTGGTTTTGCAGTTTCAGATTAATAATTAATTACATGATTAAGTTATAAATCTATCCATAAAGTATTATTCAATCCACCAAAACCGTAATATTTCTTGGGATGTATAATTACATGTGAATCTTCTTAATTGGAGCAAAAATGCTGCAGCCCTTAAGTCAACTAATATTGACTATTAATAGACATGTCATCAGTTAAAAAAATAATACAAAAATACACATGAATGCTTCAAAATAATATAAAAATGTTACTATTGTTAACCATTTGCCTCCTGGGATTCAATCCTATTTGTAATTTTTATGTGGAGAATTTGTAGGAGCAACAAATGGTGATGCCTGGGCACCGAGAGGCAAACTTGGAGAAAGAGCTGAACCAATACATCCCTACGGCGGCGGCATTCGGCGGCATGTGCATCGGAGCCTTGACGGTGTTGGCGGATCTCATGGGAGCAATTGGGTCAGGGACCGGTACATTACTTGCAGTGACCACAATTTATCAACACTTACGAGACATTTGAGAAGGAGAGAGCAAGCCAGCTTGGATTCTTTGGCTTTTAAGCTTTGTTTAGCATCTAGTTGTCGGATAGCTTTTCCAAATTGTATCTTGAGATTTAAAACCAAAAAAAGTACAAAAATGTTTTAGGCATTACACAGTATGTGATTGCCAGAAAATGGTAGGCGATTTTTTTTATTGGTCTTGATAAAATTTGAAAATATAGTTAAAGTACCTGGAAATCCTGCTAAGATAATTATATTTCTTTGGATAATTTTATGGAGAAGTAGATTCAGATTATGACGCTACTTTTAGTATTTAACATATAATGAAATTTGTAAAAAATATAGTCTAAATAATTGGATACAAATTCGATCTCTAAAAAATTAAATTTTTGAAGGAAAAATAATTAAGATTCATGTTTCAAAAGTTCAATTGCGTTCATTGGGCTGGGCGCAACATGGGGAATTGAAGGTGGGCCTTTAGCACAACTGTAACTTAGGCTTTAATCCTACGTGGCAGACTTATTTCTTTGCAAAGAACTTGTCTGATTGGCTCGATGCTATCTCAAATAGAATTGTTTTGAATGAAAAAACTTATATACCTAGGAAATTTTTTTTAAAAAAAACTTATGTGAGTGTCTCTTTGTTTAATTTGAAAAAAGAACTGAGACTTAACCCAAGAATAGTAGGGTGATATTAATGGGGGGTCTCTCTGCCTAGGAGCTTCGCAACTTAAGGAAATTGCATACAAGTATGGT